ATGACAGAAGGCTGAGTCTCTCCTGTATCCAACTGCAAACCCCGAGGGGGAGGAACCTGACAATTGATCTGGCTTCCTACCCCACCCCTCCAGTCATCCCTAAGACCATTGGGAGGTTAACCTATCCCTGCTGGATGCCAGCAACAAACACATCTCAGCCAAACGCCTATGTGAGCAAGTAAATGGTTGGGGTGATCCCACGTGACATGGGGCGTCAATCAACCTCCCGATACACCACCTAGGGATGCACCACAGTGGCTCTCATGCACTTAGTAATTGTACGTCAGCACAGCAGCAGACGTTCTTGAGCCTCTCATGAGAGACGTAAAAAGGTGAAACATCATCAGCCAATGCCCAGGTATTCCATCAAAATTATTGCTGTGTCTGGGTTGTTTACTCCTCTGTTCTCGTAGTTTCTGCCATTTGATGTCACCTGAATCCTGGGAATTAGAGGGGGGAGGTGGGGAATGCTTAAATGATGCTCTGACTCCATTCCTTCTTCACACTATCTACAACTGCAATATATGGGATTCTGCATCGAGGGTAAACATATATATTCGTGGTTGGCCTCGAAGGCAAAGAGATGTCCCGCTTTCCAGTAACTAGCCAACTGCTCCTGAAGCTGTCTGAAATTGTAACTTGGCGAGTCCTGCTGTTTATCATCTCGATAGCGGTCACGTCACATCACACTTGGGCTCTCTTTGCCTTGGCCACGTTTCATAAGCCAAGCGGTGATAGGTGCACTACCTTAAATTCCGTCGTTTTTATGCTTAGTTCCCGGTCCCTCTGTTGCCAGGTGCTTTGAAATGGCCTGCACAATAGCTCGGCTCAGTTGCAAGATCTCATATCTGCCTCTTAAATTGTCTTTAGGCGGAACCCTCCCGAGAGGCAATGTGGGGCGAGGCACCAACTCAGCTCATTCCTCACCCTCAGTGCAAGAAACGCCCACGCATCCCTATTCATGGCTCAATTGTCTAGTACAGACCACTAAGTGAATTTCATTGAAAAAAATATTGTTTATCTACCAGCTAAATCCCACTGAGCTACATACAGTAGCAAGGATGATAATCTTCATTTACACATTTTCCTTAGAACAAATGAGCAACAACAATTTCCATTGGCTGCCTAGAGCCATTGATATAAATTGAACACTTCAAAAGTCTGGTCCGATCTCTCGACGAGATCACATTGTTGACTTCCCACAACATTGTACGCCTTTTTTCAACTAACTCGTTGGTTGTATGGGACGAGTTGACTTGCAGCAACCTTTTCGTTTGTGAGGAGAGCACTCAAAAACACAGCGCCGCTTAGCGGACGCAAAATCAACTCTCCCCTCCTAAAATTCCCCTTTACGTGACACTGTCTTGTTAGTTCTTTGTGAGTGTTTTTTTTATCATTTCCGTTCCGGCCTCGTGTTTATGAGCAGCGGCCCCTTGTGGTGGCTGGCTGGCAGATGACCCTGGCGCAGTGTGGATTGATGGGTTGAGCCGACACCATCTCTGGGATAGGTTGCCATACATTTAGTACGTACGCATAGAGGGGGGGGGAGTTAACCCAAATGCGTTCGCTTGCGTATGAGGGGGGGGGGTCTACTGACAATGTACGTACGCATTGGAAACGTGGGGGGGGGGGGGGGGAGGTGAAGCCTCGATACTAATTTGTCTACATTGGCCTTCCAAATGAGCCACAGTTCAGTTTCATCAGCTGTCAGACAACAAGTACTAGCGGGAGAAGTGGGACTGTGGGAGAGATGTCACTTGTATGTCACCACCGTACCCCTGACTGCTCGCTATCGCGCTGCTGTGCTTCAAGCCTGACATTGCGCGTGTTGACGAAATCCCTACATTTTTTTTCGATGTAAAGCTTTCGTGACTGCAAGGATTCGTCTTCTTTGGTTCTTTCGGTAAAGTCACCACGTAGAATGAGAATAAAATAATAAAATTAAACAATAAAATTCTCACGACGGTACAATGTAGCTCTGTCGTCCCGACAGGTTTGTTCCTTTCACCTGAAGAAGGCCACTTGTGTTGTGGCCGAAACGTCGTGAGAATTTTATTGTTTTATTTTATTATTTTATTCTCATTCTACGTGGTGACTTTACCGAAAGGACCAAAGAAGAGAAATCCCTACAATACGTCACCTGTTCGACTTGGTGCAGTCGGCGTTTGAACCGAGCGGACACTAGACAAACTTTTTAAAGGTACGCAACTTAATTCTTAAATGCAGCCGGCGGTGGATTATCTGTAAACACGTTATAATATTATTAATCGTTGATCGTTTCTTGCGTGGATTAAATATCGGTCGTTCCATAGGATTCGGGGGGGGGGGGGGGGAGAGGGGGTAAAAAGTACGCGTGCGTACAGGGAGGGCAGGAGGATGGGTCAAGTTTTTACAGATTTTTCCGTACGTTCTCAATGGAGGAGGGGTCAAGTTTTTACAGATTTTTGCGTTCGTTCTCAATTGATGGCCCCCAGTGGGGGTGGAGTGCGGAGGGGGGGTGGACAAGCTAATTTTAGAGGGTGTAAGGTGCCGGTCGCACATGTTGCTGCAGTCCTGGACACAGCGAGGTACGCTTGCGCTTTGCACAGTGAACATGGCATGGTATGTAAATACGGGGCTGTCAAAAAAAGTTGTGAGACTTTGATTTAGTGCAATTTTTTTTGTATATATACACAGTAGAGTTCTACTTTTCTTTTTACTATGTCTACTGCATTGGTAATTTTACTAAAAAGGTTTGGAGGACCACCACCATCAGCCAAGGTCAATCCACTGCTGGATGAAGGTCTTTGTACTTCGCACGGTCCTGCGACGCAGCAAACCACGTAGCTTCTGCTTTGACGTCATGGCTGGCTCCATCATTTCGGTGGATATCCTGTCATCCGTGTCCCTTTCCTTGGCTACCACTCCATTATTATTGTTGACCGTTGGCCATCATCCCTTGTGGTAATGTCCTGCACAAGCCCACGGTGGCGAGATGTTAAATACCTCGCATGGTAGGGAGGAGGTTGTGGGTTCTGATCCCGACCCTGGCGCCTGCATATTTGGAGTTTGCATGTTTTCCCCGGTGGTCGCGTGGATTGTATCCACGCGTCCACCGGTTTTCCGCTACATATTTAGAAACATGCGATTAGAATAAGCCACGTCGTGCAGCTATCATTTGTCGCCAGGTCGCTTCTGAAAAAGAACTACGTAGCTCAGTGGGCCTTACCTGGTCAAATAAACAACGGTTAAAAGTTTTGAATCGTTTAGAGTTTTACTTTTATCAACAGTTTAAATTGTATCTTTAATTCAGGTATGTTCTCCAATGATAACGCTTTTCCGTTTTTGTTCAATACTTTCCTGTCTTCAATAGCTGTCCAAGGTACACGCGTTCTGCTCTGTTTCCCAGTTTGTGTCCATCCGTCAGATCAATTCAAACTTAAATTTACTTCACGAACCTCTTGCACATGATCTTTATTTTGCTTACCTTTATCCAGAGCCAAACTTTTCAGCATTCTTTACTCAGTTATTTCTATATGCTTAGTTTTTTCGGTAAAGTCACGTTGAAGAGAAACAACAAAATAATAATATATATAAAACAATAAAAAATTCTCACGACGTTTCGACCATAACTCAAACGGTCATCTTCAGGTGTGTTGGTTCTAATAAATGAACTGAACTATGGGTCTCTGTGTGTCTCTATGGATAAGCGTGGTTTCTTAAGCGAACTGGGGAATGTGGTGGGCGCTTAACATGGGAGCCCTTGGGAGCTCTTTAGGAGTTTGCCGGCGATGGTGATTGTAATGTGTAGCGCGGATAGGTTGGGAAGTTTATGTCATGTAGGGAATGTGGGAACGGGTAACGTGGGAGCCTATTGGAGTAGACGGTGAACGTGATTGCAATTTGTAGTGTGGATAAGTAAGGTGGTTATGTCTTGTAGAAAATGTGGCGGAAGGTTTGATGTAAAGCCTATAGAAGCCTATAGGAGTAGCAAGTGAAGGTGATTGCAATTTGTAGTGTGGATACGTTAGGTAAGCTCTGTTAATAATTGTAACTCAGACACGTGCCCCAACCCTCTTGTGACGTCACCGCAGGACTTATGAGGCCATGTGAAGTGTCGAAGGGTCGCTGCTGGCAGGTCACGTGACAGAGCCAGCAGGTGCCATGGGTTGACTCCTGTGCTAGGCTAGGTACAGGAAGAGGTCACGTGACACACCCAGCAGGTGCCATGGGTTGACTGCTGTGCCAGACTAAGTGCAGGAGGAGGGCACGTGACAGACCCAGCAGGTGCCATGGTTTGACTGCTGTGCCAGATTAGGTACAGGTAGAACCAACACACCTGAAGATGACCGTTTGAGTTATGGTCTAAACGTCGTGAGAATTTTTTATTGTTTTATATATATATTATTATTTTGTTGTTTCTCTTCAATGTGACTTTACCGAAAAAAACTAAGAATATGAATTACTGCAGTCACGAAAGCTTTAAATCAGTTATTTCTACTTCCTACATTTGTTTCCCCAATACAATTTTTCAGTCAAATATCTTCTAGCATCGCTGTGAATAACATTTGAAAAAGCCAGGTCCTCTTGTCTCCCCTTTTAATATGGGTTCCGGAATCTTCTTTGTTGTAGACGGATTTTACTATTTCAATATCTACATGTTATTTAGTTCTTAGTTTGCGGGCATTTGGACTATTGCATCACTTTCTGCTGAGTATAATGTGTTTCTTTCATCGCCAACAAAGGCTAGGCACTGGTAATGTCAATTCGTTGGTCTTTTCAGGAACCTTATTCATAGTTTGTATGTGGTCAATGGTAGAGAAACTTTTGCTAAGCCCTGCTTGCTCCCTTTGTTGGGTGGCATTCAATTTGTCAGTCTATTCCCTATGATCTTTGTGAACAATCTATATCGGTGGGATAATAGGCAATCTATATAGGTCGGATAAGAGGCAAATGGGTTTGTAGTTCTTCAAGTCAGAGGACTGTATACAGTATAAAACAAATAGAGTTGAGTTAAAAACAGTACGTCATTAAATTCCTAATTTTATTGGCAAAAAACGCATGTCACAAACCTAATAATCCTTCAAGTGAGCCTCTTTGATCAACTTGGCATGAAATGCAAGGTAGGTGAGTGTGTGGAAGAGAGACGGGACAGAATGGCCACACATAGCCCGCAGAATGTAGTGTGCAGGTATGAGTTTGGCGAGGGGCTAATTATGGATGGGTCCAGGCCAATGAAATGCATGCAGGTGCTGTCTGCTCCGGCTTATTGCTTGCCCAGACCCGTTGTTCATTGCTAGTCGCCACGATGCCCTTCACTCCGTGTTGTCAAAGCATATAAAAAAAAATCAACTCAACAGCAGAGGCGGGGGATGTCCCGGAAGGCGTGACAGTAGTCATGTGGTTTGTCTTTTTTTAAATAGGCACACACACTGGACATAGCCCGGCCGAGTTGGGAACAAGACCAGCCACCGTTCACTCTTCTCGTCTTCCCCACTGGCTGTGAACGTGCTCTCTCTTTGACTTTGAATACGGGTGAATGCGCAGCGACCAATGTCAGAACATCAAGATCGGTGAAAAATAATAAAGACCACGTAGAAGAGAGCTGCAGACATGCAAGACCCGAAAAGTGAAGTCACGGTAAGAATTAAATATTAGCTTGCTTTGATGAGACTGGTATGTGTAGAGCTCTTTAGGTTTTAAAAATGCCAAAAAAAGTAAGTGTTTGATTCTAGATCTGCTCACGACTTTACGATGAACATGTGTTTGTTGAGATTACAGTGATTTCTTTCGTGTGCTGAACTATAGCAACTGGTGGTGTGAAGTTGTAGCTGTTATTTAGTTAGATTGTAAATCGTGGCCAGCATAACTGAACACATCTTGTCTCGTGCTGGGTATAGTGTGGTTGAAAGTAAATGCATGAAGTAAATTTAACCCAGAGGGAGATTACATGAAAAATCAACTGAGCCGCGGAAAGTCGCAAAGCCAAGTGCCGACACAATGTTTTTAGGTATTCTGACTCAGCCTTCCAACTGGTATTATACCACACACATGACTGAATTAACTGTGGTACATTTTTTTTACCTGCAGTAAAGCAGTCACAAGGAGTAAAGTCAGTTGCGTTGCGCTTAGCCGACCATAACTTTTTTCAAAGCATTTCATACGTTTTCAAAAATAATGAAGCGTATTAACAGTTAGTGATTGCGAATGCATCTAAGAGTTAGGGTTACATTTATATTTAGCGTATGTTTTTTTAATGGATTTTATTTCGTTAACTTTGGACCACACCTGTTCGCGAATAATATGCACGTTTTTATTCCCGTTTTAAATCAACGGGTACCTGTTTGCGAGGTTTCTATGATAAACAGGCCATGCGACGAATTGGAGTTTAATCATTTACATGGACGTACAGTACTGTGCAAACTCTGTAATGTATAATGCCCTTCACGGCACGTTGTGTCACATTACACGCAGTACGCAAAGATCTACGAAGAGCTGCTCAAGTCCGTCAAACACGGAACAGATTTCTGTAAGGAGGTGACCGCCGTGTTCCAGATCAGGTGACAGCTTGCAGACATTCATACGGCACGCAGGCGTGTATCGGTCAATCTGTATGCACATTAAAAGACTGCCTCGTTGCGTACGTAGTCTGTTAAAGTGTACACGTCCAACACTTTTTTACTGCACATGTATTGATGAAACAACATACCGCACTGAATAGAACCAGTTCGGGACAAACGATCATTATTCCTACGTAACAAATAAAACCACCTATATGTTTAAATGCTGTAATTAATAGCGGTGTCATTGATTTTAAAAGCAATTGGAGCAAATCACGCTTAGCAATTACAATTGTACAGGTATAACTTGTTCTAAATTGCTATCACAATTTAACATAACGAGCAAATGGCTGAACAGAAAAAGTGAGTGCTATTTACAATGACAATTATAAACAATAATAAGTCACGGCTATGCTCACAATTGCATTTCACTTAAGGTTTATTACGCGACGTTCGGTTGTTCAGAAAACTCTGAGATGTTTAAAATTATTTGCGGTACCCAGCTGTGAATGTAATATTATCTTGCCAATGTTTTTTTGTTTGGCTTGATTGCTCTGGAGACTGGGGTATTTGTTGATCGATGTTCGGTCACCAGGCTGATGGCACGAGTTGTGATTTCTCACTTAACAGAGTTGGCCACGTGAAAGCTGCCCATCGTCCACTCCCTGGATTTTTGTTTTATTCATGGCTTGCCACAGTATTCCTAAAAAAAACTAACTATGCACCGTACCGGCCTTTGACGTGTGTCACAACTTGTAACCTCTGGCAAACATCCACTAGTCAACATGAAGCTGGAAAGTGACTCCATGGCACTTCCAAATTACCCGCCGCTGTACAGTTTGCCCCTGGACATTTTATCTCCCCCCCACACTAAATCCAGGTTTTGAAATGGCCAATAAAACACCAAACACGGATGGAAATGAATGAAATAGGCAGTAGAAACTCACCCGACACTGCCGTGTATTGCGGCGAGTGGATATACCGAATACAGTCATTTGAATGTTATAATGTTTATTAAAAACAAAACCTGTCATAATCATAACCATAGTAATAGATCACGAGACCAAATTTCAACACTATGTTTAATCACTCAGTTTTGGAGCTGGCCAAACATCCCAAATGAGGGCCAGTACTTGGGCAATTATTGGTGATGATTCTGTCTGTCTTCTGGCTTGTCTGTGGTTTCCATAGCCTCCGAATTAAGATATTGGTACACAAAATCTCGACTGAAAGCTTTCGTGACTGCAGGAATTCATATTATTGGGTCTTTCGCTAAAGTCACATCGATAGGTTCAAAGAAAATAACAAATTTATAATGTAATTTATAATGAACTTCCCAAAACAGCGCATCACCATGGTCAGGGTTTCCATACCAACCTGTGTGTAGTGCAATGACTTCATTTGTTACAAGTTAAATCAAGATCACAACACAATGTGAATTTATAGAATATCTACTTGTCACTACACCCCATGACACAACTGCCAGACTCCTTAACCGCACCCGGAAACCTGACCGCATCATTCCAGTACATAATTTGCTTCACTGGCTATAAATCCAATCCCAAATCAATTTCACTATTATACGAGTGATGTTCTCGATTCTCCATGAACTAATTTCTGCCTGAGAGGTAAGCACAGAACCAGTAGTGAGGTGCACTAGAGATGCTAAGATAGTTATGCTGGTCTCCAATGAGCGTGGGGTAACCTGTGGTATTGAAAACTGCATAAAAGGTCGAGAACTAGGAATTAGATGGTTAATGGTCTGATGAGAGGTAATTCACAACAGATGTAGGAAAGCAGTTTTGGTAGAATGGCATTGGAGGAAACCAAATTGCCAACGTATCTACTGCTGAAATAGATCTTGCCAATCTGAATACCCACAGCTTGCCTATATCCACCACGTCTCTCTGATCCACAACTGTTCTTTGCGAACAAAAAAAATCAATGGAAGAAATCTGGCTTTAAAATCCAATACCACATCTGGAAGACTCTCGTGAGCTAGCTTTGGTGAGGTCCAAATAACATGCCAACTGTGGTCTAATTGCAAATGTTACTTGGAACTACAAATCCCTTTTTTCGTGCTACGCACTTCCTCTTGCATCTTAATAACCCAGCTTCCTCTTCTATGTTATTTATCAAACGTGAACTACTCCCCTCCTTTAGGATATGATGTCAGAAATCGCGTCCTGGTTTGGATTTATAGAATATCTTCATGGGTCATGAAGCCCAAACAGGGATAAGATACCCCTTTCTTTGGCTTTTCCAAGCAAAGGAAGGTTAACGGCAAAAGCTAGGGTCACGTGTGGGATTCTTTTAAGGATGGGAGTGACAGCCACAGTCTTGAGGGCTAAGGAAATTGTACTAGATGAAATGAAGGTATTGATAAAGCAGGTGAATGTAGGGGTCCAGCATGGGTAGACAGTGAAGAATGTTTTAATGGGTAGAGGATTGAGGATAGATGAAGATTTGTGTAGGTTTGAGATGATCGTAGTCATGTGTTTTAGTGACACACTGAGGGATGTCAAGGATAGGTGGTGGTGAGACAAAAGGACAGACATTAGGAGGAGCCGAGTAAAACACCAGGATGCTATTTCTGATGTCTTGACCTAAGACAGGAGGCGAGTAGTTCACACTTGATTTGTGGTTCTGAGTACCATTGCTATTAGACCACAGTAGGCATCAGATTTGACCTCACCAGAGCTAACTCATGTGAGCCTTCCAGATGTGGTATTGGATTTTATATCCAGATTTCTTCCATTGACTTGTTTTTATTCACAAAGAAGAGTTTTGTATCAGGCATACGTGGTGGTTCTAAACAAGCTGTGTGTATTCAGATTGGCAAAATCATTTACAGCAGTAGATAAGTTGGCAATGTAATTGCGGAAGAAAATTTGTGGTGCATGAAGCATGTTTCATTAGACGGAATGCAGCAACACGGGAGCAAAGGAGAAATATATCTGGTAGGGTGGAATATTTGGGACCTCAAAAGAGATGATCTGTAGGGGAAAATGAGAAGTGTATGAGGTGGTCACTACAAGTGGCAGGTGGAAGTGGTGAGGATGATGAGCCTGGTGTTGGAGGTGATGTGGTCAAAAGTGTGGCTACGGAAGTGAGTGGGAGGTAAGATCAGTGGAGAGATATATGGGATCTAAAAGTTACTGGAAGGTGGTTGAGATGGAAATAGATAATTAAAATGTGTGTTGATGAGTGATGAGTGGAGTAGAGGAAGAGACCCAAGGTCGAGGTGAGATCAGAAATTTTGGTCGGCTTTGACTTTGACAAATGGTAAATCACAACGAGTTTCAGATTTGAGGGGTAACAGTTGAACAGAGGAACGATCTAGAGAGCAAACATTTTGGATATTTATAGTCTAGGAATTTAAAGGCAGGTTTAGATATGACAGCAATTCCTACAACTCTGCCAAAGGAACGAGTACGCTTGGAGTGGAGGGAGCGGTGGGGGGGGGGGGGCTTCAGAGAGTGAATAGAGGTCAAAGGGTGTGCGCCAATTCTCAATGAGACACAGAGTGTCACTGGTGCCCTCTTTTATGAGATGATGGATGAGAAGTGGCTTTGAATTGACTGAGTGGATATTTAGGAATTTAGGAGGGTGGCATAAACAGAAGATAGCTGTTGTATCAATGGAGAAGGCCTCATGCATCATGGTGATGAGTTGTTCAACGATTCTGACCTCAGGGCCTGTGTAGGCGTAATATGGCATCCATTTACATGGAAAGAAAGCTTGGGATAGTGGGTTGGGAGCTCGGAATAGTGAGCAGGGTGCCTCTCAATAGTGGGTAGAGAGCTCGAGATAGTGGATAGGGAGACCGGGATAGTGGGTAGAGAGCTTGGGATGGTGGACATTTTTGAGGGGGAAGAAAATGCAGAAAATTTGGGTGGTTGATGGTATTTGTAGTGTCCGTTAGAGTGGGAGTTTTGGTGTTGACATTGCAATGTCTGTGAGGTGGGTCGACTGCGATAAGTTGCGATGTTTGGATTGGGTAAATGATGGAAAGCTGCAGGGCATAAGGTCTAAATTTTGGTAAGCTCTGGCTCGTGTAGGTTACATAGGCAAAGAGTGATATTTAAATGGAATCATATTCTCTTGCCACGTATGTTATAGTTACGTGCCTACTTAACAACGTAGCAACAGCATAACTATAGTCAAATAAATGTCTCTGAAGTTAATATTATACGTGTAATCCTATACAATTCATTTGGATGAATGTTTGTTTAATTAACAAGTGCTTTTGTCTTCGTTGACATCATGCAACTCTGCCAATGTATAGTTTGTATAGTAATCATTAAAATATTCAACCTTTTTTCCATAACTATTGGTAACGTCACAGCAACACATTCCAACCATTGATGCTGTGCCCAGGTCAAGCCATCGCATGCAGCATTGGGAACAACATGTTTTCCGTTGTTATGGTTGTGAAAGTGCCTTTCCAAGTTATCTTGAAAAGACTGGCCATTTTATTTATTGCCTGCACCCCATGAACAAACCCTCCCCATTCTCTTTTGGAATTTTTTCGCTGCTGCAAATGCAGGATATGCTGCACCATAGGCTCAAAAAAATCTACGTATTTATACTCTTGTGTTGAAGATCCTGAGCGAGTGGTGGAAATTCCACACGTCTATTATTGGTACAGATCTCTCCATAGGATGATCACTGTTGACTTTCCACAAAGTGGTACTTATCTTATCAAAGGCACAGAGAGATGTTGATTTGCATCCAACCCCAAACTGTAAACTGATTCATGATTTTCCAGTTGTCAATGAAGTGTTGTTCTGTAATGCCATAAACTCATATATAAAAACATGAATTGAATAATTTTAAAGGCTTTTTCACAATCCATCGATAGATGAAGGCCTTCACTAGCTGTGTCGGTCATTGGGGTTGTTTAACCATACTTAAACCACGCTGGTCAATGTGGGTTGGTAAAGTGAGAGGGCCCAGGAAGAATTCAGTTATCACTTGCCACTGATGTTATCCGTGAT